TCTCCACTCTGAAGCAATGTTGTCCCTGTGCAAAGAGTGTTCCCCTTTTGTTAATTTAAATACACACACACACACACACAACAAATATAAATAGAAAAAAAGAAAAAAGAAAAAAGAGAAAAAAGCAATTTGTAAACAAAGTGGAGGTTTAGAAGCACTGTAAAACTGTCAAGAAAAAAAAATTCCGCTGATATAAATTTATATATCAAAATATCTCGATTCAAAAGTTGGAATCAGTGTTAAAATTAATATTAGAATCATATTACTGTATAGTGACAGCAATAACTAGTACGATTTGATTTATAAATTAACTGAGATTTATAAATTAACTGAGACAAAAAATATAACAAGTTCTACCTGGTCTGAAAAATTTAATTAATTTAACAAATTGGAAAAAAGGAAAAAGGAAACATGTAAATGTTACAATCTTTTGTTAGGAAAACTCAGACTTTGGATATAGTACAAACCTATTTGTAAGATTATAATTCAAAAATGATTTCCACATTAAATTAACAGTTGGAAGACCTGAAAGACCAGGTTAAGGTTAGATCGTCATGGAGAAAATCTATGTCAAAAATGACTTGATAGAACATAATCACGTGAGGTTAAATTGCATATCAGATTTGTTTTTTAAATATGAAGTTAGTTTTGACATTAATGCATATTCTCATATCTTAATCTGCCATTTTTCTACAGAAGGAATTATTAGTGCTTTCCAATAAGAAGAATAGAGTATCCTAGCAGCTGTTACCATGAGAAAAGCCAGTTCAATACACATTATAGGAATGGTTGCTAACAGTCAACAATGACTTGATGGCACATCACCATCATCACCACCACCACCACCATCATCGATATTTACCCTAAAAGATAATGGGCCGAAAAGAAAAATCCACCTTTAAAACCTATTCTATACTATTATAAATCATTTTCCAGAATTATTGGGCCTTACAACATTGCCACCAAGTGTAAAATAAAGTTCTAACCTGTTTATTGCATTTGCAACAATTTTTAGAAAATGAATTCTCTATTTTGGCAGTCAGAACTGGAGTAATATATCATGGCAGAACATCGTACCATTGGGGATGTTATGAATGTCCTGAGCTGATGCCTGGCTGAGGGAAAACAAGCTTAAACTGAAACTCAGCAAGACAGAAATGCTGTTGTTGGTAATCAATCTGGTTTTATTCTTACATGGTTTGGCCCCATGTATTTCCAGGATCATTTCTATAATCTTGTGTGCTCTTACCAAAAGGGGAAGCTGGGGTCTTCTCCCCATGTAATGCAGAGGGATTAGAGATCAGAGGCAATCCTTCTTAAAAGTTGTCCTTCACTAAGGAACAGCATATCCCCTGAGGTATGTGGTGCCCCCAACCTACTAGCCTTCTGGAAGGCTGAGAAAACCATCCTATTCCAGCAAGCATTTGGTAATTCATGATAGGTGGTCTGTGATATAGGTTGGAGTTTTTATAAGATTGCATTTTATTATATTGTCATGAGATAATATAGGTTATGTGAATATTGTTTACTTATGTTAGTGCTTTCTGACTACCATAAGCCACCCAGAGTCTTTGAAGTCAGGTGGTGTAGAATATATTAAAAAATGAAGTATTTGAGCATCTGTGCATGCGCGTGTACGGAAAGAACACAACATGACAGACACTGCATGCATGCTTCTGGGAGATGCAGATACATCCCTTGGCTCAAGGAAAAGCCACTTGTTCCCCAGGGCAAGCCAGGCCCCACTCCCACCCCAGAGGGTGCTCCAGCTAGCCAGCCATCCCCAGTGTGGTGGTGACTCTCCCTGCCATATGGCATCAGCAGAACCTTGAGTAAAGGCCCTTGACTCATACAACAAGGTCTGCTGCTGTCTCAGGCTGTCTCAGCAGGCAGCACATTAGGGACCCAAGACTCCCCACGTTGCCTGTTCCCTTTGAATAGCATGAAGAATAGCATGGGGAGGATGCAGAGTTACTTGCTTATAGGTTGGAGGGTGATGGCACCATCGTCCATTGCCAGGCTGTCCCAGCAAAATGCTCAACTTGCTCAGTTGTGGCTACGCTGCTGATCAGAGGATCAACACTGCTTGATATTCACCAAGAACTTGCATCTTTCAGAAAGAATTCATCCCACATCCTCTTTCCTTCCCTCAAGGCAGAAAAAATCTGGCCCCATTGGTACTGCTGTTGTTGCCCCAACTATTTCCTCTTAGAACCAATTACTTAAAAATGTATATAAAATACATCTATTAGGAAATCACAGAAATGGTAGTTTCTGAACACATTGTATTACTGTAGCAGCAAGCATGTGCTATTATCTCAGTAATTCCAGTTAGCTTGAAAAAAATATTTAGACTTAAAATAAAGCTACAAATGTAACTCAAAATAAAGTTGTATGGATTCTATCCATAGCATAATCTAATACAAAATTTTGCCAAAAAAAAAAAAAAAGTGATCCAATGATTTATGTTTTAGAAATTGAGTCACAAATCTAGCTGTCTCCTAAAATAACAAAGAAATAAGTGCTTTCAATTTTCTGAACATTATGATAAAGTATACAAAGCAGAATCAAAAAGTGTTAATATTTGTAGAGCAGGAATGGTAAACATTTGGCAAGTTCCAACAAGATGATGTACTAGTTTCAGCTACTGGGTTGACATTTCATTTTTGCACTGAGGCAGATATATGAGCTTTAAAACAACAAAAACAACAGAAGTCTCATAGAGTTGCAATATATTTGAGAAATGCAATATATTTAAGAAAAATAGCTGATACTGAAATTTAAAGCAATTAGGATAACAAATTTTGCTTTTGTAAAAGTGACCACATTTGTCTTAGATTGATTCTGTTCTGATACAAATTCAGGGGGTGGATTTTGCAGCAAATCTAAATAATAAAAAGATGTTACAATTTCAGGTGTAATTTCCAACACAAATAGGAAGAAAATAGGAAGCTGTTCACTCACTAGCTGTTCTATCTAACTGTGGTCAAAAGAGGCTGCTAATGGTTCAGCATAGCCTTTCCCATTCTTACTTGAAGATGCCAGGAGTTGAATATGGGGTTGTCTACATATAGAACATGCGCTCTGTTACTGAAGTACGGCTGAATACAAACCAAACAGAAAAGGGTTAAATCATGCCTTCGGTATTTCCATGTGTAAATTGCCAGTGCAGGAACTCATACATACCCCTGCTTGTGCTATGAGAATGCAGAGATCCTTATGTTATGAGAATGAAATAAATATACAAACCTTCTTTCATGTGTTAACTATAAGTACAGGAGTATGGACCACAATTCATTCTACCTTCCTGTATCCCATCAGAGTGGTCAAAACTCTCTCAGGGATGTAGAATATGGTTGACAGTGGGAAGAGGGCTAGAATCAACAGGATCGTAAGCTCACCCCCAGTCTAGCACCTGGTGGGATGTGTTTGTAGTAGATAAGAGTGCTATAGTCCCTCTCCTTGGAGGAGAGAACTGACCTATCATATGACTTCAGGGACCATAACATTGTTCCTAAGGGATTGAGCAGAAATAGCCTAACATACTACCTTTTCTCTTCTGCTTCCTTGCATACAGTTATTGTGTAAATCTTATCACAAAAGTGTTGGGCGTATTAAAAGGAAGAGTACAGAGCCTTTTAATCAAAGAATAAAAAGAAATAGAACAGGATGTACGGATAAGTAAGATGGGCTTTTCTCCCTTTCTATTACTCTTTGCTTGCTGACTTTTTAATGTCTAGTGAGTGCAAAATCTCTGTGATCTGCTTTCACATGCAGATGGAAATGGCATATGTTTCATAAATGAAGGTGAAGGATTGCCAACCAATTAGGAATAAAGTAAACAGGAACAGAAAACCCAGGCAAGCAAGATACTTTCAAAAGCCCTATATTTTCAAAGCAAGTCAACAAATTAGATATCTATTCCTTCACTTGCTTCCTTGTCATCATGATTTATTCTAATTCTGAGAAGATTCAAAGTCCATTTCTGTTTAGTGAAATTTTGCTTTGTAAGCTGGCTAATCTCAGGTGCTAAAATATACTTTTCCTATCTACAAAACACCACTTACTACTATGATAATTACTGGCTTTTCTCTCTCTCTCTTTTTAAAACAACTGAAAAAGAAAAGTGAAATCACATATATTTGGGAATAATACAATGAACATCATACCTGGTCTGAGGCAGAACAGCATTTGTTTGCCATCTTCATCTATAAAAAAGAATAGAAAGAAGTAGTAATACAAAATAACTCTAATTATATGGTCATTTATGATTTCACTCATAATTGCATGGCTCTCGTGGTAACCATGTGGTCCCAGGAAAACATGAGATTGAATTGAGGAGGCACCAACAGGGTGTGGCACATTCATCACACCCTGTTTGCTACTTCCTGAATTCAAATGTGCCACAGCCAGTGTATGTATTAGATTTATATTCTACTTTTCCTCCAAGAGTTCAAGGAGGCACATTTAATACACCCACCTCCATTTTTCTCCCCACAGCAATAACACTGAGGTAGATTGGGCTGAGAATGGTGGGTCCAAAATCACCCAGTAAGCTTCCATAATTGAGGGTGGACTTGAACTTTGGTCTCCCAGATCCTAGTTCAGTACTTAAATAACTACAGCATGCTGGCTATCTGGGTAAAATCAGGATGCTGCATCTGTATGGCAGAATAAAGTTCCAAGCAACTCCAAAGCACTGTTATGCACCATTTTAACTGAAACAATTTGGTCAGTGAGGACAATTAAACAACCAGGGAGTGAATTGACCCCTTCAGTGCTTCACCGTTGTTGACAGTCTCCTCAAAGGTCAACATTGGATTGAGAGGAGCTCCTGTCAATCATGCTGAAACAAAAATTCTTTAAATGAAAATATGACGCAACTGTCGAAAGGAAAAATAAACAGAATAAATAAGCAGGCAGTATAAAACCCACCAATTACTACAAAGATTTTGTAGTGATTGGCAGGCTTGTAGTAAACACGCAGATAAGTACCTCTACTTAGTAAAGATTTTAAAAATAGGTTGACCTGTGTAGGGTGCCCCATAGAAATCATCTCACTCAACACCTCTAGAGACCTGGCAGTGCTCCTGTCTATGGCTTTATAAAAAATTTCAACAAGACCCATGAATTTGACACGTGGTCATGATTCTGTGGTACACAATACTTGTCTTTTACTATATCCAAAATCAAGAATTGTTCAATCCGTTTATTATTCAGTATCACATGTAATACACAATGGAGATCTGCAAAATGTAACACACACACATCTGTCTGCCTGCCTGCCTACCTAGCTATTTCCAGTTCTCTAGGACATATACATACTGGAGCCAAAGTATTTATTCAGTAAAATATCCCTTTATGCAAATGATGTGTAAAAATATTTAACAATTTAGTACTTGCAGTAACCATATTTCTAAAACACTTAATGTATCACTATTTCATACTGATCTTTCCATAGATCAGTTGTTGTTGTTGTTGTTGTTGTTGTTGTTGTTCAGTTGTTAAGTCGTGTCTGACTCTTTGTGACCCCATGAACCATATT